AATTTTTATTTTTGTTACTGACTGGTGAAAGGGAAACCCATATTTTCCCCCCAAAAAGTTTGGCTGTAGTAGCTAGCTATTGTTCAAATGAGCTACTACACCCCTTCACATCCGGGCAAAAAAGTACTTTGTTGATTTTTAGTTAATATTTTTCCAAGTTTATTTTTCGTTACTGTGAAGGGAAAACCATATTTTTTCCACCAAATTCCTTGCCTGTAGTAGTAAGCTAGCCTATTGTTCAAATGGAGCTACTACAAACCCATCAAATCTGGGAAAAAAGTCTTTGTTGAATTTAGTAGTAATTTTGTCAATTTCATTTTTTGTTACTTAAGGGGAAAACTATATTTTTTTCCCAAATTCTTTTCTTTGCCTGTAGTAGCTAGCCATTGTTCAAATGGATGTAGTAGCTAGCTAGCTATCATTGAATGGGAGCTACTACACCCATCAAATCTGGGGAAAAAAATCGTTGTTGATTTTTAGTGAATTTTTCCAATTTAATTTTCGTTACTGTGAAGGGGAAAACCATATTTTTCCCAAATTCTTGCCTGTAGTAGCTAGCTATTGCTCAAATGGAGCTACTACACCCATCAAATCTGGGAAAAATGTCTTTGTTAATTTTTAGTGAATTCTTCCAATTTCATTTTTGTTACTGTGAAGGGGAAAACCATATTTTTCCCAAATTCTTGCCTGTAGTAGCTAGCTATTGTTCAAATGGAGCTATTACACCCATCAAAACTGGGAAAAACTACTTTTTAAAAGCAGTTTTTATTGTATTCACCAACCCATCTGCAACGTCTCTTTTTACTGTACATCAATGATTTATGCTTCGTATCTAACAAATCTAAATTAGTCCTCTATGCAGATGACACCACAATTCTGTTCTCTGGAAAGAACTTGGAACAATTATTTTTTGAGATCACAACAGAAATGGAAAAATTAAAGGAATGGTTTTACTGTAACAAATTGATATTGAACTTGAAAAAAACAAAATTTATGGTGTTTGGTAACAGGAGAATTGATACTGAACTGAAATTAACACTAAACAATGAAGCAATAGAATGTGTTGATAAATATAATTTCCTTGGTGTCATCCTTGACCGCAAACTAAACTGGAAATCACACCTTAAACTCATTCAAAATAAAATTGCAAAATGTATTGCAATTATGGGAAAATCTAAATACTTACTTAATGAGAAAGCTCTTCATACTGTTTATTGCACATTACTCCTACCTTACATTAGTTACTGTACAGAGATATGGGGTAATACCTATAAAACCAATCTTACTCCAGTTCATATTTTGCAGAAAAAGGCCGTCAGGATAATATGCAGCGCTGGTAAGAGGGAACATTCTAACCCTCTATTCATAAAATCAAAAATCATGATAATTCATGATTTGGTCAAATTTAAATCCTTACAAATAATGTATAAAGCAAGATATAGATCGCTTCCAAACAATATCCAAAAAATGTTCAGCAATAGAGACGGCAAATATAATCTGCGAGGTCCAATGAACTTTAAGAAACAAATTATAAGTACTACCCTAAAAAGCACGTTCATCACTCGCCGCGGGGTTGATTTGTGGAATGAACTCGAGGAGGACTTGAAATGTTGTAACTCACTGATTAACTTTAAACAAAAGTACAAAGAAAAGGTATTTAGTAACTATGCTATAGAAAATGAAGTGTAAATCTATACTACAAAAAACTATTCTTTGACTCTGAATTATATTTGTTTTTTTTGGTATTTTGTGTGTATATATATATATATATATATATATATATATATATATATATATATTTTTTTTTTCTTCTCTCTCCTTTGCTAGATCTTTGTTTGTTTTCTTATTGTACACGCAACTTGTGTTCTATGATGTATGCATTTAAATTAACTTTACCACTGTCTGTAACAACGCAATTGTTGTCAAGAAAAAGAATATGAGAAAGGGGTAAGCATTAACAAGTTTTATACTTCTGCTTACTCCTTTTGAGCTTTTCTGTGTGCCTTGCTTTATCATTGCATACAGCGCAAATTATGCCTGTTTGTTCATTGTTTTTTTTTATGTCTTTTTACACAAATAGCTCAAATAAACTAAATGAAATGAAATGAAAAAACGTTCTGTCAAATCTTGCACTTTGCAGACGGTCCCTTGCTGAGAGCTTATCACACGTACGAGCGGAGACTTCATCTTCATTGTTTTTCGTGTTATAAATCGTCAGCTGCAGCCTAAGTAAAGTTTTTTTTATATAGGTGGCAACATTGTGAACAGTATTTAATACTACACTCTTCACTAAACTGAAAATACGGACAGACTTTGAATCCAGGGGGATTTTGTTCGAATATCAGGCGAATATCAAACGTTCGGCTAACTTCACCTCGGTTCATTTGCGGAGCGCTCTTGTGGCCACGGCACGTTCAAGGCCCACTCGTTTATTATATTACTTATTATTTCTATATACATATAAATACAATTATATTCAAATCAATTATATATATATATATATATATATATATATATATATAAACAGATTCACACGTATACAGTATGTATTACTATATATTATTTTTATAATCAATCATTTCATTGTGTGTATTATTATCATTATATATATATATTTTTTTTTCCAGACCAATTTCATTTGACGGAAATCCGTCACCTAGACGGAACTCTTTAATCCCTGACCTAGCCAAGTAATCTTGGTGTATAACCCCATGTTTTCTGGGTCTATGAATCCATTGGACTTGTCTAAATTGCACTGAGATTATTACATACTTATGGAATACAAGATTTTGTGATATCACTGCAAGGTTTTATCTTTGGGGTGAACCATTCTGAAGTCCTTAAAGTAATTGATAAACATGCCCCATTTAAAACTATTCACATAAAAGGACGGCATCTTCCATGGACTAGCTCTGACTTAATTAATCTTTTTAAACGTCGAGACCAAGCTTGGACTAAGTACAGAGAGTCTAAGGACCTTAACGACTGGGAGATCTATAGACAACTCGGGAATCAATCCAAAACCCAAACTCCGAGGAAGCCCTCAGTCTGAACTATAACAATCCTAAACAATTTTGGAAACACCTGGACCAGCTTCTGGGTAGGTCCAAAAGAAACTAATGTTACTGTTAATAATACTACAATTACTGATCTTAACTTAATCTCTGATTGCTTTAATGAATATTTCTCCTCCATAAGTAGTACACAGCACTCTGGTCATCCATACTTACCTAATCCACTGAATGACGTTCATGAGACATCATTGTCTTTTAATCAGATATCACATTTGGATTCAATACAAGCTATAAACGAGCTTAAAACTAACAGTGCGGCTGGTCCAGACGGCTTAGAAGTAAAATACTTCTAAGCCCGATAAGGTCTACTCTAGTACCTTGGAGTAGACCTTACCGGGGAGGCTGAGGAGTGTGATCCAACGATAATTGGAACACACCCTCCGGTCCCCCTTCTTGTAGAAAGGGACCATCACCTCGGTCTGCCACTCCATTGGCACCACCCCCGATTGCCACGCGATGTTGCAGAGACGTGTCAGCCAAGACACTCCTACAACATCCAGAGACTTTAGATAGTCAGGACGGATCTCATCCACTCCCGGCGCCTTGCCAACATGGAGGGAGCCAACCACCTTGGTGACCTCAGCCAGGGAGATGGAAGTATCTGCGCCAAACATCCTCAGCCTCTGCCTCCGTGACGGGGGGATTGAGGAGAACCTCGAAGTATTCCTTCCACCGCCCGACAATATCCCCAGTCGAGGTCAGCAGCTCTCCACTCGCACCATACACGGTGTTGGAAGAAGTGCTACCCCCTCCTGAGGCGCTGGACTGTTTGCCAGGATGGACCAAAAGCTGGCTCTTGGCCCAAAGCTCCGTTCCACATGTGTGTCTATGCTGAATTTTTTTGGTCCACTCTAGTTTACGCGCTGTGAATTTTTGAAGTCTCTCGTTCAAATGAATGGAGCTGCGCCGGCTGACGCATGCGCAGATGCGTTTTTTCACAATTTTCTTGTGGGCGGGACCACTCGCGGCCATCTTGGATTGCTCCATGAAAGCACTTTTCATGGCCAACTCCTATGAACGGCGGAGATAGGCGTGACTCTGTCCGTTATTATATACAGTCTATGGGTCTGACGGGCTTCTTCCCCTGCCAGCAGATCCAACTCACGACCAGGTGGTGATTGGTTGACAGCTCCGCCCCTCTCTTCAACCGAGTGTCCGAGACACGCGGTCGAAGGTCAAATGATACGACAACAAAGTCAATCATCAAAATCCAGTTTCCTGGTGCCACATGCACTAGTGGACATCCTTGTGCTCGAACATGGTGTTCGTGATGGACAAACTGACTAGCACAGAAGTCCAACAACTGAACACCGCTCAGGTTCAGATCAGGGGGGCCGTTCTTCCCAATCACCCCTCTCCAAGTGTCACTGGCATTTCCCACATGGGCGTTGAAGTCCCCCAGGAGAATAACGGAGTCCCCGGTCGGTGCACCGTCCAATACACCCCCCAAGGACTCCAAGAAGGCCAAGTACACTGCTGTTAGCATGTAGGCCGTCACAACAGTGAGAGACTTGTCCCTACCCGAAGGCGGAGGGACGCGACCCTCTCATTCACCGGGGAAAACTCCAACACGCAGAGCTGAGATGGGGGGCAATGAGTATGGCCACCCCCGCTCGCCGCCTCTCCCCGCGAGAAACACCAGAAAAGTGGAGCGTCCAACCCCTCTCAAGGAGTTGGGTTCCAGAGCCCAAGCTGTGTGTGGAGGTGAGGCCGACTATCTCTAGTCGGTATCTTTCAACCTCTTTCAAGGAGCCCCGGGCTTCCACATGCTCTTTGAATAAGAAGAAACATCCATCCATTTTCTTCCCTTAAATCCATTTCTGGGTCGGGGGGGCAGTCAGAGCTGCACCCAGTACACATAGCACCAGCCCCTCCTGCAGGTGGTGAGTCCACAGGAGCTTCAGGCAAAGTTGGGTTAAGTTGGAGTCAGTTGGAGTCGTGAAGTAGGTCTCGTGATGGGCTTGAACCCACAATCTTCAGGCCCAAATGCCACTGCTCTACCAACTGAGCTACTGTCGCCCACCAACTGAGCGACAATAGCGACACTAAGAAGAAACAACTGAAGAAAATAGAAAAGATAAATAACACAACAATAAAAATTATATATAAATATAAAAACAAAAGGCAAGAAACAAAACAAAACACATTATAAAATATATAAAAATATTGATATAAAAAAAAACCACAAAAAAACACAAGGGGTTAGCGGTACTGAGCCTTCACGCCGCATTCCTGTTTTGACTAATTTTACGGTACCAAACATTTCTGATGAATTTATTCTTTATTGGAATCAAAATAATGGTTATGAACCACAGAAACCACCAAAACTGGGAAAAACAATATGATAAAAGAGAAATACGGGATCACTTAAGGGAAATTGTACTTATTTTTCACATACATACTGTATGCTTATAACCAATTGCTTTAATATATAATTGTACTTGTAATCACTTATTTTTCATACAAATATACTAAATTAGAATATTATATGACCAAAACATATATCAGACACCAGTATTCTTGGTCTAGGAGTAATACATAGGAGTAATGGTAATTTTAAGGACCTGATGGCCGCCATTTTGAAAATGAGGCCTTTCTTGGAGTCAAACTTTGGTAAACTTTTAGTATGTTTTTAAGTACATCTACTGTAAACCACTGAAAAACCTTTTGTTAGAATTTTTTTGGGGTCAAACCATATTTGCAGCTGACTACAGTGGATTTTTGACAGCATCACATTTATCATGGGGGTCGCGGGGGAATAATCTTTGGGAACCCCTGCTCTAATCCACAGAGCAGTAATACCCTTTTAAAATATAGTTTTTAAATGCTCACCATTGAGGCACAGCGGAAGTACTCTGCACATTTTCCTGATAAGAGGATTTAGACTTAGGGATTAAACCAATTTGATGCAGGGCCACTGATTTACTGGGATATTGTATTCACTCTTCATTCACCTATAATGGCAACATTCTTGATCAATGCAGTGTATACAGTTGTAGTTGTACCTGTAAAAGGTGAGCATGCAGCCGGTGATGGTCATGTTACAGGGCACCTGAGCAGACATCCGACCAATCACAAACATCTTCTCCCCGGTGTCCGGGTGGAAAGCTGAGTCGTACACATACTTGGCTTTCCAGAGTTCATCCTCAGTCAGGCCTGGTTTTACTACACCAGCTCTGGAACAGATGCCACATATGTTTGAAAGTGTCAAACATGTCAGTACACAACCCCAGGCTTCTTCACACACCTGTAATCTTCCACAATGACCCTGGCCTCCTCTAGAGCCTTTGACGACAGCAGGACGGTCCTGGGATCTGTGACCATAAAGAAGTGCTTGGCGCGCCCCATGAACGTACCCTGGTCCCATTGCGGCTCCTTGATGTTGATATCCTTGGACAGTTCTCCAGACATTCTCGTTTTCCTTCTCAAGACAAACACTGATTGAACCAATAAATATTAAAATATATATTCAATCATTTTCTTCCCCTTAATCCATAGGGCGACAGTAGCTCAGCCCGACTTCCGCCATCGACTCTCACTGTCTGTCCTTGGCAAGACACTTAACCTCTGGGAACACCAGCCACAGTGGAGCGGCTGTGGCTGCGAAGTGCCAAACTGCCGTTGTGTATTTAGGCAAGACACTTCACCCCCATTGCCTAGAATGAGTCTGGTGTGTGTGTGAGAATGGTTGGTGGTGGTCGGAGCAGCTGATGGCACATACTGGTTGCCTCGCTCCTGTCAGTAGTTTATCACCACTTTGTATGGAGTGAAAGAATAATGACACATGTAAAGCGTCTTTGAGTGTCCAAAAAAGCGCTATATAAAACCAATGCATCATTATTAATATATTATTATTTCTGGGTCGGGGGGGTGGCAGTCAGAGCTGCACCCACTACACATATCACTGGCCCCTCACTGATCCTCCTGCAGGTGGTGAGTCCACAGCAACCTTGATCTTCCAGCGGGGGCTTCAGGCAAAGTGGGGTGAATTGTCAAGCCCAAAGGACACATCGACAGCAGACATCAGTGCGAGTCATGAAGTAGGGCTCATGGTGGGCTCAAACCCACAACCTTAAGGCTCAAAGGCCAATGCTCTACCAACTGTTTATTATATATATATATAAAATATATATATATAATTTTAAATATTTTATATATTTTATATATATATATATTATATATATATAAACATTTCTATTCTGATCAGAGTCTGCAGCCTGCGAAAGTAGCGGAGAATTCACGACAGGCACCCTGCACTGTTAATAACCCATGACCCAACTATACGGAACAAATAGGCATGTGCACCAGACCTGAAATCCCGACTTTGAAAGTTAAATGTACGATTCACCAGGGCTTTGGCGTTAGCACTATTTATTTGACTAGCTAACGCGACATCAATTGGTTATTATTAGTTAATATCCACCCAGATCCATTCACATAATAAGTTAAATTATGTGAGGAAACAGTGGCAGTATCAATCGTGTGTGAGGAGCATCTTACCTGAGCCGTTTTGGTGTTTTGTAGAGATTGTATGACCTCTAATCGTACAGCACAGCCGGGTGGACGAGTGCGGGCTTTACATACACGCACGACAAAATGGATAAACTAGGCTCGCTTTCTATTATAGATAACTCAATTTAAAAACGGACTTACTGTTTAACAAAACTGTCAAAAAAGAGAAAATGGTGCGATTTTGTACATTATTATTTAATTATTATTATTTTAAAAGTGAATATTATTTTTGGGGCGTTGTCTCACGTTAGCTGTGTAATATTTACAGAGGGACTTTGAATGCACCAGGAGACCGCTCCCGAGTCAGTTGTTCCTCTGGGTCACGTGGCAGGGCTGAGTCACTGGGCGTGGGATTATAGTGAGCCCTGATTGGTCCACATGCGTATGACCCTGACAAGAATTCAACCATACAATTCAACACATAAACCATGGATTTATTATATTAACGACAACCATTCATTTGAATAGGGCGCCATCTTGGATCGCCGGGGCTTGCCGCATGAGAGATGAACAACTATCACATTGTTTAGACTATTTCGATGAAGTTGCACAACACTGGTACCTCTTTATCCATGTTCGTTTACATGTTTTTTTTTTTTTATATATTTTATGTATCTATATTTTGTATGTAACTATTCTTCATCCATCACGTTTATATATCAATACATGTAGATGAATAATTTATAATTTAAGAGGAAAATGTGTTTTTGTGGACTCGACTCAAGAAGACTAAAAAGCATGTATTCACTACCGCAACTAGTCACTAGGGGGAGGACATACGCTGCTTTGGTATGATAACGATAGTGCATTTGTTGAACTTGTAGAGCACCTATTGGACTTGTCATGGACTGGACAGCCTTAAGTCCTAACTGAACAGCTGCAGTGGGGGTCTCTGCTTATGCACTGCTATGGACGATGGATGTATTAAAGGCTCTAAACACAGTGATCGCCTTGTGGTCACCTGAGTCTGAATGAGATGGCGCTAATAATGCGGAGGTGTGCACAGTGCGTCAGCTGGAGGACCAGGATCAGTGCTCCAGTTCAACCACACGGCTCTGAGAACAACAAGGTAACGACATTTCTCATTACTTCACAGCTTCACAAATTTGTGGAAACTTTCGATTATCTTATGCCACGTGATAAGGAGATTAGCGGAGCCACCACGTGCTTTTATTATTTATCATAGAAACGCTGTTCTGCGGTCCTTGTCGTGCATAAACAAATAACAAGACAGTAGTCTTTAGCAGAATACAATATCATTACATTTGACATGTGCACTGCACTTTAGTTTATGTATTTTTTTGTTTCTGTTAACCGCAAGATGTGGTTACAGGCGCTGTCCATGTTACTGGCTGATAATTATCCACCCGTCTTGACATGATGTGACCTTCTTTGTGTTTGTTTTATAGATTTACTCGTGTGATACGCGGACAATGAAGCGCTTATAAACACTTTGAGTAATGACCGCCTGTTCTGTTCCACGAAGATCTCTGTTTAATTAAACATGAGCCAGGCCCAAGGGGAATCTCCATGACCCGGTGATTGCACAGCACATGGCTCTCACACATATGGATGACATGGGGAAGTGGATACGCTTTTTAAGAACAACGTATCTTCCTTCAGAATGATTATCAACTATTCATAGATGTTCTGGCCACTTGGACAATAAAAATGATAATTATTATAATTACTATTATTACTATTATGCATAGTACTTATATAGCGCTTTTCCTTACACCCTAAGACGCTTCACATGCCTTTATTCATTCACTCCATATTACGTGGATGTGTGAAATAAAAGTGCAGTGTTTATGTTCAGACAGAGTAACTATCCCGGTCAGTCTCTTCAGCTGTAGTTTGTTTTGACCGTCTGTCTGGATGAGTGGCAGAGGTACAGCCAGTGCAGCATGGCACACTCCTTTGGCCCGTCGGACTGGAGGGAGATGACAAATGGAGTGGGACGCCCTCACCTCCGCAATGGAGAGTCTAATGGGGGGTCCCACAGCTCCAGGTACAGGGTGAAAAAGCAGCCACAACGCCTCAGATACAAGTCTCATTCTCCTATGGGCCGGGTCATCCTCATCAACACAACTGAAGATGGTGAGTGGCGCTGCTCACTCTCAAACAAGAAAACAGCACACATTCTGGACTCTCTCACCAGAAGCCTCATTTAGAAAACTTTACATACAAATTAATATAAGAACAAAAACTTGCATTTTGCTTGAGACATTCTGTCTCATCTTCAAAAGCTCCAACACCAGAAGGTTTGAGGATTTGACCAAGTTGTTGTATGTAACATTATTCAAAATGAATGTTGTACGAAAGTATTATATGTAGCAACTTTGTACATTTGCATGTTTTATATATGAGGCTTCTGTTTTCTGATCTTTTATTTGTATGTGTATGTAGTGTGAAAAAGAAACAATGTATAATGTGTGGATTCCATGTACACATTCCCCTGTCTGTGAGAGCAGCTGGAGATGAGAGTGAGGACCTCCACACTGTGACTGTGGACCGGAGTCTGGACGGGCGCCTGGGATTCAGCATAAGAGGCGGCTCTGAACACGGACTGGGGATCTTTGTCAGCAAAGTGGATGATGACAGCTCTGCTGGTGAGAAGAGAAAAAGTGAAAATATGATAGCAGCAATGGCCGAGGATGAGGTCAATTAATGTTACAACATATTAGTGTTATTACAGCATTGACAATAGGAACAAATGCATATCAACATTATGGCAAGATTAAGGATGTAAAAAGTACTGTTAATTATAACTGGTATTGCATAATTAGAATGTGAAACCAATATATTACATACGAATTGGCGTATGACCGAGGGACAAGCCTTAGTTTGTTATCATTTTGATGATTATGGCCTTTTAATAATATCTAATTTCATTATAATTATCCATATTATAACAAATAAAGGCTTGATATATCCTTTGTAAAGTCTAAACTTTACAAACATGCACAGTGTCTCACATTTTCAGTTGAATTACACAATTAAATGGAATGAAGAATAGTCCAATTTAAAATTTATGAAGACAATAAAATACAATAAAAATTCAATGGTTAGATTAAAAATGTGTAATATTTGACTCTGCTGTCTCAGCACTGTCAGGCCTCACAGTGGGGGACAAGCTGGTGGAAGTGAATGGAGTGAGCATGGAGAGCATTACCATGAGCAGTGCTGTCAAAGTCCTCACTGGCAACAACAGGCTGAGGATGGTGATCCGCAGGGTGGGCAAGATCCCAGGCCTCCGCTACTCTAAGGAGAAGACCATCTGGTGAGAGCCTTGAGGAGTCTGCAAACACACGTGTAAATTAATACCGGTATCAGAAGCCGGTAACAAGGTTACCTGAGTTTATAAATGTAAACGGTCCTAAGAAATCCATTTGTTTTGCCATACTATTTTTTCTATCGGTCACAACGCCTTCATTACACTTCTTTCTATGTTTTCCAAAAGCATGGTCATACTAAAGTCATTACAGCTTTGAGAGTGTCATCCATATTGTTTTCCAATATATGCACACAGATTATATAAAGTTTTGCTTGAAAGTTTACATCCTGGCTGACATGTTTTGGGCCAATTATTGTTTTGATCAAGTAGTTATTGCGCTGTATAAAATACTATTATTGCAAAGTTGGGCTTGCCAGCACAATTACATTACGTTTTTCTCCCCTTACCATGTATTATGGAAATAACTGAACCACTTTTATCCCACTCATTGTTAGTGATTGTGTGGAGCAATTAAACATGTTTTCTATTTTTAATTGACAACAGAAATATACTCTGCTGACCCTGATCAAAAGTCTCCATCCCCCTGTTAGCGTGTATTTCTTGGACAGCTTGGAGTCGTTGGTGGTAGTTGTGGATAAGGCACTTTTTGCTCTATGACTGTTAAGTTGGCCATTATCTTAGCAAAAAGCCTCCAGTTACTGTAAATTCCTGGACTGTCTTCTAAATAGAGAAGTGTGGTAAAGTGAAAGGCTCATGAATGTAGATAAATGTTAATATATGTCCATAAATGTCCTTAAATATCCTGGATCATCACCACTGTCCTTATACCCTCCTGCATCGGCAAGGAACTTGAAAACCCAATTGGAAAAAGTAAGAAACCCACATTTAGGCTTCTTACAGCTCCCACAAACAGACAGGCTGTCAATCCAGGTCCAAGGCTGTAGAATGAGGATGAGGTCACATGGTGCAGGACTGAAACAGGGAGGGGGGTGCAGCCCACAAGTTCGGACAGAGTGATACAGTCCACAAGTACAGATGATAGAGGCCTGATTCATCCTTGCGTCATGAAACAGACATTGTGAATAGCAATGGACAGACAGCTGAAGTGACTAGAGTGAAGGTTGTCTGCCCGTGGATATTATGTCTTGTGTTAAACGGTCATGGCAAGAAAAAGGATGTCAATCACTGCTTTACAGTCTTTGGCACCTGCTCTTATTCCCACTTGTTATTGTGCAGACACTTACTCATACCACTTACCGCTCTGTCACACTGCCTCTCTACCCTGGCAAGATACTGGCTGCTTCTTCAAACCATAGAAAAACATGCCAACAATGAGCCTGTGCATGTATGTGCGTGCATGCATGTGTTTTCATTTGTGTGCGTTGCGTGCATGTATGTGTGTGTGCAGGGTTGATCTGATTCACAGGCGCATGGTAGTGGAAGAGAGTGACAGCACTCCATCCATCAAGAGCTCGGACAGCGCTCTGAGGAGGGCCGTGCACCTCTTCACCACTTCGGACGATTACTGCCTTGGTTTCAACATCCGGGGTGGCAAGGAGTTTGGCCTGGGTATCTACGTGTCCAAGTAAGGAAAGATGTGGTCAGGAAAACTGGATGTCAGGTCAAATGTTGCATGGAAATCGTCAAAGAAAGGCTTGATTAAAGCAGGTGTGGTTCTGTTCTCAATTTAACACACTATGGCGGAGCTATAAGCAGGCCAGTCTGCAGAAGTTAACTGTTGCCTATAATGACTCAATGCGGATGCTGCTGAAGATCCCCAGACACAGTAGTGTGAGTCAGATGTTTGCTGAGTGCAGGGTGCGCTCCTTTCCTGCTGCCCTACGTCACTGCTGCCTAATGCACTCCCTGGTTTGTCCTTACATTAGCTCACTCAGGTTCACTTCTTTGCTTTGGAGTCACTGGCGTGCTTCTCTGTATGTGTGACTTATATGTGATATGTGATTACTATGTCTGTTTTTAACACTGATCTTTTAAAACTTTTCTTTCATTATTCTTTGCTATGGATCCTGTGCTTGCATGTGAGTCCTTAATAAAGTCTAAATAAAATAAAAATAATACAAAAAATATGAGTATTTAACTCTGATAAGTGTTAAAGAGCATACTGGCCGAATGCTGACATCCTAGAGTTTGCTGAATGTGGAAGAAGCAGATTTGATTATAAGCTTGGAGCCAATTTTCTTATTTGCATTCTTTGTCTGATGGTGTTACCTTTGTAACGGACCAAACTTATTTCTATGATGGTTGCTAAGTCAACCTAGACTTTCCCCCAGAATGAAGACATTTGATTGGTCATCTTTATATTGCTCATATCTGGATTTTTAAGACAATATCAAAACATAAACACCAGGGCCATAGTTACATAGCTAGAGGAGTTTACTTTGTCTATGAGCTCTTACCAATAGGAGGATCTGTGAGTGACGTTGTTTTTTATAGTTTTTTCGCGCTGGTTACTAGGTGGCAGCGACTGCTACCTGGATGCTACAGAGTTAGATAGTTTTAGACGTTTGGGAAGAGATTTTTTAAAACAAATGGTCTACTCTTGTTGTGTGGCCGCTTGTACAGCCCGCTGGGGCCAGATAAAGGTTTTCAAATTTTTTCGGAAAAGAACAGCAAAAAATTTGAGAAATGGTTGCAGACTACCAGGAAAATGAACGCTCAGGAGAAAGCCTGGATTTCGGGATTAACAAAAAGAGTATGTGAGGCTCATTTTGTTAATATTATAAGTTGTAATGCCTATGTATGAGTTATTATGTATGTATAAGGGACTTCGTTGCAAACACAGTGGGGATGTGGAAGACCACCCTTGAGGCAAATGGCAAGCCGCTCGCACAGGTGACCTTCAAATGTGGTATCTACCACTGCTGTGCTGAAAAGGCCTGAACCCTCTAAGCCAATTAATCGACCAGACTGTCTATGGATATTGCCTCAGGAACGGAGCAATGATTAGTCATCAAGCTGTACGCCAAGAGCTAGAGAGAAATGGTATTCCAACACATAACTGCAGGGTGCAAGATGCTGGCAGGGAAGGCCTAGATGGAATGCCATAACCAAGTGGCTGGCATAGTGTACAGAAACATCTGTGCAGAGTATGGGTTGGAAACCCCAAGGTCTAAATGGGAAATTCCTCCAAAGGTGGTGGAGAATGCAAAGATCCTGTGGGACTTCCAGATACAAACCGACCGAATGGTAATGGAGAACCAACCTGACATTGTGGTGGTAGACAAAAGGCAGAAGAAAGCAATGGACGTGGCAATTCTAAGCAATGGTAACATCAGGAAAAAAGAACACGGAAAGCTTGAGAAATACCAAGGGCTCAGAGAAGAGCTAGAGAGAGCCTGAAGGGTAAAAGGTGACAGTAGTGCCCGTGGTGATTTGTGCACTCGGGGCAGTGACCCCGAAGCTGGAGGAGTGGTTACAGCGGATCCCTGGAACAACCTCGGAAATCTCGGTCCAGAAATGTGCAGTGCTAGGAACAGCAAAGATACTGCGCAGAACCCTCAAGCTCCCAGGCCTCTGGTAGAGAGGCCTATAAATATGGTTGTCTGGGGCCTGATTCAGGGTTCCAAAATAGCGATCAACAGCACCCAGACTATGTTCCTCATATCAAAATGGGCTATGGATCTAAAAACTTAAAAGCAAAAGCAATATCAGTTCAAAGATATGAATGGAGGAACAAAAGGACACAAGTTTGAAATTTCTTCTTGGAGTTACTTCTGCAATGCGTTCGAGTCCCGACATAGACGGGACACTAAAGTGCTTACATATAGTGCATTTCACCAACTAACACTTACTAGTACTCGTTGCATTCATGCTTCTGTATGTGCTGCTATGTCTTCTTACCACACAGTCAGTCACATGCGCATGCAGATATAAACAAAGATCTTCCTATATACAGTACATTCTGTACTATAGACGTAAAGATGCTAGAGATATGATTTGGTACAGGGATGATCAGCCCATTTGGTCTCTTGATACAGTATGTGTGCAGGTTATACACAAGTTTAATAAAACATGAACATTAATAGGATCCATCAAATATTAATGAGCCTGGAAAACTTTAGAGTATAAAAATTGGCCCTCAAGGTCAAAAAGTTTAAGAACCAATTTGAATAAACCTAGTGTCAACTGAATACAAATATCACATTAACAGGACAAAACGTAAGATTCTTTGAGTTTTGGATTCCTTTTGATCTATTTCAGAACTATTCTTTTGGAAGTTGTATTATTAAATATGTTAAAAATACTTTATCTTTTCAAATCATCACTGTGGTATCAAAATTGGTATCGAGTATCAAGTGTTGTTATTAGTATTGAAATTAAGTTTGTAATTTTAGTATTGTGAAAACATCAATCCTCCACACTAATACCAGAAGCATCTTTCTCAAGTTTTTGGTTCGTTGTTCCGTGTGCATGTCAGACCAGGACCTGGCTCTGTGTGCATGTCAGACCAGGACCTGGGCTCTGTGTGCATTTCAGACCAGGACCTGGCTCTGTGTGCATGCCTTGACCACGAGCAGGACGTGAGCTTGAGTGCATGTAATGACTTCCAGTGCCATTACAGGATTTATAATGCACTCACTTGTCCTTCCAGCGCAACGTGGATCATTAGTTGTCATTCATTTCATTACAGGGCATTCAGCTTTCTAATATCCACAGCCTGTTCATTCAGCATTCTTAAGCAGCCTCAATTATGCTATTGTTTTTCCCAGGTAGAGCTTGTGAGGGGCGCGGCCCAGAGAGTAGAGCTGCTAATTAAATTAAATCTACATAGTATGGAGATATATTCAGTGATTACATAGAAAGTTGGTTTTTATATTCTTGTTTGCTAGGTTTCTGAATTTCTGAATTAGAAGATCATTCAGAAGTCTATTTACTGTATTTCACTGAATCCCGAGAATGTTATTTGCCCCTTTCACAATAAAATAAGTTTACAGTGTGTGAAGTTTGGCCTTTAAATCTAATCTATGTCCAAATGATTTGGGTGTGCATCAAGGCTCAATTCTAGGTCTGCTGCTGTTTTCCATTTACATCAATGACCTACCAGACTGATGTTGGGATGTAAACTGTCAGCTCAATGCAGACAACACAGTCATTCACGTGTCAGCTAAAACAACAGCTATGACTGGGGTGCAGTTAACACAGGCCAGACACAACATCTCAACATGGCTAGTACAGTCCCATCTAACATTAAATCTAAGAAAACATTCGTAATGTGCTTTTCTATCAACAAGAGGTCTCCAAATAGTCTGTTTGAAGTTAGTCTTAGCGATGACGTCATTCAGGAGGTGGATGAAACTAAATACTTAGGTGTTATCTTGGATAAACATCTGAAGTTTCAAAGTCAAGTTGAGCATGTTTATAAGAAGGTCAAATCCAATCTTAAAGAAGCTATACCCGATTTTTTTTCTAAGTAGTTCATAAAAATGCTTTTTACTACATACAAGTTGTATCATAATACATCATTTAATTGAAAACTTGAGGTAATTGATTCAGCTGTGTAAGAATTACAAGCAGTGAAAAGTGCTGAGTAGAGTCTGAGCGGGCCGCTCTTTCTCCTCCGCTCACAGAACGAGCAGGAGACCAGCCTGCGTCCTCTAGCCTCTACAGCGCTGCTTAACACCAGGACTTCGACTTCAAAATTCGAATATAAATTCTAAAATAAAAAATGATGAACAAAATAATTGAATAAAAAAATGTGAACAAATATTAGACAACCCTTGTAATTCGAAATGTATTTAATGACTGCAAATAAAATAGTTAGCTCCCAAAGGTTTCACCAGGACGTGCTAGGCAGGTAACAGCTAAGCTAGCTAGCTGTTTCGTGGTAACTTCCGGGTTTTTCGCAATCGCTTTTTGTCACTTTGAAACAGTATTTTTGTTATGAAAACGTTAACAGCAAATTCTGAAATCATCCGTGCATGTGTGTTAAGGATGTATATGTGTACTGTATTGTCCGATTGACGTTTAATGGTGTTGATTGATAGATATGTAGTTGTTTATTGAGCGTGGCTAGCTCCGCTAGCTCCGTTGGCTTCTCTACACAGACGAGTGATAGTGACAGGTGCTGATAGCTTGTACTTGCGGAGTAATGGCAGTATTTTACACACCTGAATTACAAACAGAGGTTGCATTGGGGCTTCGGTCATTATTGGTTTGAGAGTTCTGTTATCAAGAAAAAATTATCGGAAGAATTGCTGCTGCTGCTTTGAGGAGCTCTATAACAAATTATAATTCAATATTAGAATATATTCTAAGGTTTTAAATTAATACATTCGGACGCAAAACTAGCGGTATTCTTTTACTTATATATTGTGTTAGCAGTGCGTTGCTTTAGTGCCATTTCATCAGTGATTGTTGCACAGCTTACAAGAAGTTGCGCTAATGCTAATGTTAGCATATTTATCAGATCGCAAATAAAACTAGGTGGCTCTGTGTTATGAGAGCGTAGGGGAAATAAGAAGCCATTGAGTGAGTTGGGGGGCGGTGCTAAACATTCAAACATTGCAGAAACGGGTATAGCGCCTTTAACTGTTTTCGTTTTATCAAGAGAGTTATGTTGTCAAA